GTGCCGAGTCCGACCCCTCTCGGACAAACCAAAGAGGGACGATATCAGCGGCAGTGCCCTCAGCATAATCTGGCAGGGGTGCAGAATTCGGCACGTGTTATGAGATTTTCGGTTTCCGAGATTTTCTGTTTCAGTGGGCGGGGCATACATGAATATTCATGAGTTTCCCGGACATGCGCGTGGAACCAAGTGGAACTGAGAATTTCAGTTCACGCTCCTTGTATCTCAGCACGTTTAATGGAATATATATATTTTTAAAGGTAAATATATTTACAGTGTTGCACAAACTACATTTGTATATCATTTTGTAACAGTTTATAATGTTTTTATTAGTTTACAGTGCACGCTTTGTGCAGTCGAGTTATTCCTTATTTGACAGGATTCACTTCCATCTCTAAGAGATCAAATTCATATCCACTTGTCTGCAGTGAGAGTTGAGCTCAAGAATTACGCTGAGGGTCCTCCTTTAGAACCTGAGCGCATGGGGCCTTATCTCAGCAAGGTATAGTAAAGGCAACTTCATTACTCATTGTTCAGTATCTAAAACTAGCCTGACTGAAATGAACACACTTGAACATCTGTTTCTCTATGTGTAGAAAATCTTGGAGTTCAGTGACCAGATAAGCCAGTTGTGTAGAACAGGAGAATCAGACAATGGGAACCTCTATTCACACCTTCGACCAGTGTTCAAGCAATGGGAATGTCATCTGAGTAACTCCAAAGCATCATGTACGTCATACAGATATATAAAAATCTTGGTGATTGGACACAATGTACAATACACCACAAAGGGACCATTCAACAAAAAATGACATTCATTCTGTTATGATTCAGTGTTTTGATTCACTGATAAAAGTCACTCGCCACCTACTGGAGTAACATTGTAACTACAGAAAGAGTCACTGTAAAATCTGTCACTAATACAGACACATTTTTTTGGAACAACAAAAGGGGTGATATAATGAAAATACAAATAGTAAAATTTGAGGATATATATAATTATAATAAGGATATTAATTTTGAGATGACTATTGTAAGATTATTTGATTTTAGTCAGAGAGTCTGTAAAACGGATGACAGAAAAATATGATGAGGCCCATCGTGGGAGAGAACTGGTGACTTTCAGTGACTACTGTGTGTATGAATCAATGGTGAAGAAACATGTTGGAGACCTTAAACAACCTGCTTTGGATACTTTGAAACTCATCCAAGGTTGCTCTTTGGACTTGCATTTACTTTGTATGTGTATTACGTTTGACATGATTAATAATAATAGTTTTCATCTTAGATATTGTGCAGAAGGAGTTCAGAGTCATGAGTGAGCTGTGTTTCCCAAACTACCCTCATCTGAGACACATAATACAGGTGGGTTAAAATGACACTTGTTGATTACATTAAATAGGCCTAGACAATAAAAGTCTTAAAAATAACATTTGATCACATTCCTGGTGTATCTTCCCTTAGAATCATATTGACGACATTCAATCAAAGCAAGAAAGCAAGGTGGAGAAGAGGATCCATGAGTACATTAACATGGAGAAACTTGTGTACAAGCAGGATCCCATTTTTACCCAGAAAATTGTAGACTTCAAGTTTGTGGAAAAGCTACAGGAGTACGAGTATTAGTTTGGATACGGGAGAGAACGCGACCTCACCCCACAACTGTGCTGTTTTTGACACCAGGAGCTTGACGCCTGATAAACTGATCATCTACTACGAGGTTTAAATCCATTCTTAAATCCATTTTTGGTATTGAATGCACTGAAATCCTCCCACATGTTCTCTCAATCCATCAGATAGTGTATCAGCATCTGGCCGACTACATTCCTATGGTGATTCTGCTGTTCATACTGTAGGAAGCTGCCGTGATGCTGCGGACTCATGCTATGGACCTGCGGGATGGAGCTGATGTTGTGAAGCTGCTTGTAAAGGAGGACACAGAGTCTGGATGGAAGAGAGCAGAATTACACCAACGCATGGAGAGACTGCGTCTAGCACAAGAACGCATCAGTATATACCTCTGAGACACAAGTTGCCTCTATTTTTTGTCTTATGCTTGATCACTAAAAGCATTTTAAAGTCAGCAGCAAAAGAAATATCAAAATCAAAGAACAAAAGTGTAGTTTGAGGTGCTTTAGAAATCATATTGATTTTTTTAGGTTCAAGGTTAAGGTTCAGTTTAATCATGAGTAATTATTTGAAATAAAAAAAAAACTTAAAGATGAGTGTGAAGTAAGTGTCTTTTGTAAATGACAAAGCATCAGTGATATTTTGATATATGAAGTGTTTTTGAATAATAAAAAATGTTTAAGCTTGTTACGATGTCTACACATTATACATTTTAATAAAACAAAGCTATAATTCATAAATTCTCTTTGTTTTGTCTTTACATATATGAACTTAGGTTTTAGATTTTTTAATTAATGATATTGTTTTGCTGTAGTTTTGTTTTGAATGATGTCATTTTTTTTATGTCAAGTTTTTGATAAACTTACCTTACAGACCTTACTGAACTGAAGCCCTTTCTCTCCATACAAATGTAAATGTTTTACACAAATACAGTTGTATATGCACTAAAACGTATTTGGGAAAATAAAGTGTGCTAGCAACTGACACAAGAGTCATAATTTTCCTTATATTCCATGTTATAATATTTTATATTGTTTCAATATTAGTTGGTAACTACAGAAAATAATGATACTTATGATACTAGTCCACTTTACTGGAGCCAAATAAGTATATTTACTTTTATTATTTAAGGCAGTCAGCCTGTATGCTTTTTTAAGGTAGCATGTTTTGTGAGTCAGAGAAAAACAGCACATGTTGCCATCATGGATAGCATATTTTGTGAAGCAGGACTAACCCATCTTTAACCCTAAAATGGGTAGGTAATCATGAGAGGACACTGGCTCAAAAGAACCTTTAATCCACATTCCTCTTGAAGAGCAGACAGGCCTGAACTTTAAGAAAATTAAGATTTTTTTAACGGACTGTGATTAAATTCTGCTGTGCTTGTCTGACTGTTGTATGTTGGCACTAAACATATGTACATATTCCATAGACAATGTAACAAGTAACAAATACAATGGTGACATTAAAAAAAACAAAACGATACTTGCTATCGTTGCCAAGTGAAATGTATGAGAATGTTCGCCGTGTGCAAGATAAAGGTAACAAAACCCTGCTTTTAAATTTGTGTACTTTCATTTTCATTTTACAGTGGGTGTGATACACTATAACTACAGTCTGATAGAAAGGATCCTCTTCTGATTTCTCTTCAGCATCACTACCTACAGACACCGGGTTTGGATGAAGCGTACATTCTAAAATTTTAAAGAGGGATCCAGAAAGAAGGATATCATCTATTCTCCACAATTAACTTCACTTTCATTCCCACCCTTTTTGGTTTTCCAGAAAATGCCCAGGTCAAGGCAAGGAATATTTTCTATTCTCTTCTTCTTCTAATTTAGATAGAAACAGAATGATGAAATAGAAAACATCATAGTTCTCAAAATTAAAGCTTAGTATGTTATTACTTCTAACAAATTTTAATTAATCTGGTTAATTAATATTGACAAATATTGTTTTGGATTTAAAAAAACTACATTAGAAATGTACATTAGGTTAATTCAAGTTAAAGGGGTCATATGATGCGATTTCAATTTTTCCTTTCTCTTTGGAGTGTTACAAGCTCTTGGTGCATAAAGAAGATCTGTAAAGTTGCAAAGACTAAAGTCTCAAATCCAAAGAGATATTCTTTATAAAAGTTAAGAGTCAGCCACGCCTACCTAAAACGGCTCGTTCTAACACACCCCTACATATCTACGTTGCTATGTGGGAAGATTTGCATAACGCCGCCCAAATGTTCACACAAAGAAAGAAGGCGTAACTTTTATTCTCGCTGTAGTTTTGTTTGTTGTTTGTTGTTGTAGTTTCGCCATGTCGTAAAGACACTGTGTGCGTCGTTGTGAAAGCGAAACTACTTTGTTTGGCCTTCCAAAAGAGGACGATATCTGCTTTGTCATGCCTGGAGCTGATCCGTGCTGGTTGCTAAGGAAATACTACAACTTTGCGCTGTGGATCGCCGGATCGGCTTTCACCGAGGACGAAGCGGAGTCCAGCCCGGAGTCGTCACATGTCCTTCCAGACGCTCCTTCGTCGAAATCGCCGGCCGCGCCGTTTTGAAGCCCGCCGCCTCTGCTCACTCTAACCCTCCCGCCGTTCCTCACGCTAGCCCCCGGAAAAGAGGACACGACTAGAACTCAGTGGTTAAGTTGTATTTACAACACTGTTCCAGAACGCTTCAACCCAAATATTCGGATGTGTGCAGCACATTTTATGGAGGACTGTTTCCTGATCCTGGGAGAGTAGACTACAATGCCGACTGTTCTGACTCAAAGACCGTAAGTGCGTTTTTTATATTTAAAGAGTTTCTATATTTTATATATTTAAAGCAAGTTTTTTGGGCAGTGTAGAGTAGGGCTTGTTGTTTGTCATTTCTCCAATCACAAATGCAGACATGGTTTTATGTTTAAGGGGCGTAACATTTCCGTCACACGCTTGAGGTATTCGGCCAATCATAACGCACTGGATAGCTGGCCAATCACAGCACACCTCGCTTTTTCAGACCGATGAGCTTTGTAAAAATCGATGCATTTCAGAAAGGCGGGTCATAAAGGAGAAACAATAATGTACAGCATGTGGAAAATAATGTGTTTTTTGAACCTTAAACCGCATAAACACATTTCATTACACCAAATACACAAAATAATGTTCTTTTTAGCAGCATCATATGACCCCTTTAATTTATTTAGCACATGTTAATTATCTAAGAAATTTTAAAAGAATAACAAAATAAAAATGTAATAGAAAAATGTATTTGAAACAAATAAAAGGTAAATAAATGGTATATAGAGAAGGACAAACAGAATGAAATACAGTAAAACTGTGCAATCAGGGACGTTTTATAATAAAATGTACATTATTTTTACAGTCAGGAAATGAGGGGAGCGGTTCACAGTCATTTAGAGGAGAGTATTCGTCCATATATTGATCTAATTGACACTCTGCGGTCAGCTGGGATTCATAAGGACTTGGCGTTACCGACTATCATAGTAATCGGAGACCAGAGTTCTGGGAAAAGCTCTGTGTTGGAAGCACTGTCTGGAGTTCCATTACCAAGAGGGAGTGGTGAGGGCTTGTCTTAATCTCATTTGCTATTAGATACTGATATGAAAGTTAACCGAATGCTGACAATAAGAAAAACATTTCTTTAGTCAGCACCTGCACTGGTGTTTTTGAATATAAAGCAATTGTCACATAATTTTGAAGTGTTCTACTAATTGTTACCTGAACTGTGTTTGCTATAGGAATTGTCACCAGATGTCCATTAGAGCTGAGGCTGAAGAAGGTAAACGTTGGAGTCAACTGGAAGGCTGTTCTGTCTTACAGCAATAACAAAATTGAATTTGTGGATTCATCATTACTTGAAAACCATGTACATGCAGGTTAGGAAATATGCTTGGAATTGGTTTCTTTTTCTTCCTGCTTCCTACAATACTATCCTGACTGCCAATTTGGTGCTTCGTAGTGGACGTTTCTCTTGCGGTTGCCACAGATTGAGATCTGTATACAAAAAAGGTCACCCCTTGACAGCTGTGTGTGACATCCCCGATGTTATAATACACCATGTAATACAACTTGTGATTGAAGTTTTAATTTACACACTAATTTGAGTTGATTCAAACCCCTGCAGACAGTTGGTCAGGACTGTGTAAAGACATTGTTGAGGTAATTCAAACTGCAGATTCTATGATCTCTTTCAGTGAGTTTACTGATCATAATTCTTATGAAAATAGACGTGGTTCTGGAACAAAAATTTACATGAGATATTGATATAGCTACACATAAAGCGTTTCAATACCATTTCTAGGCAAATAAATAGGTCATTCTACATATGCCAACAAGATGGCACCCTTAGTGCATTGCTGGTAATTGAACACACTTGAGATATGATAAACAGGTAGGTTAAGATGGGGAAGATTCCCCCCTTAAGAACAATGTGGATTTACCTTTAAAGTATAACATATTTAGATAGGTTGAAGTTTAGAGTATGCAAATCGACACATTTGCTAATTTAACTGTTAGCTGTTTGATTTCGATTTTGTGATCTGTCTCGACCAGATACTTCTCGAGAACCGGCTCAAAAGAGCGATTAGTTCTTACATCAAGAACCGGACATCTTGAGCTTACTGATGTAATGTAGTGTGTGCATACAAAGTTAGTGTATTTTGTCAGTCGTACTCACCCTTTCACATACATAAAGATCCCTTTATGATCACTTGAGCACAGCTGATGATGTTTTGAAGTGACGCTTAAAGGGTTAGTTCACCCAAAAATGAAAATTAGCCCATAAATTACTCACCCTCAAGTCATCCTAGGTGTATATGACTTTCTTATTTCAGACGAGTCCAGTCGGAGTTATATTAAAAATGGTCTTTGATCTTTCAAGCTGTTTAATGGCACTCAGCGGGTGTTGCAGTGCATCAGTCCAAAAGAAGTTAAATAAAAAGCGCCCATTCTTAATAAAAAGTGTCTCACACAGCTCCGGGGGGTGAACAAAGTCCTCCTGTTGTGAATCGATGCATTTTTGTAAGAAAAATAACCATATTTAAAACGTAATAATCAATTTAATCTAGATTGCGCTCACTGTTGTACACGGAAGCAGCTCAGGGCGGATGACGTATGATGTCGGATTTGCGCATGCACAGATCAGAAGTGATGAACGCGGAAGTGCAGGGAACAGATCAAAACAAAACAATGGTCACTAATTAGAAGTACAAAACGAGGATTTGTAAAGAAGAATGTCGGAGGATTTCGATATAAGCCAAGAGAAGACTGGTTTTCCTTTGCTAAAGTAAGGAAACTTTGCTTCCTTTGCTCCTGTTAACTAACGTTGGTTCCCTTTCATAGGTTCACTTCAATGCTGCGATGACGTCATCGCTTTAGGAACATCCTAGGAGTGACGAATGTCTGAAGCCCTTATACCATCATGCTAATTTATTGGCCAAATAGAGCTTAGCACCGCCCCCCACGCGGTGCATGAAGCAGAAGACACACATGACAGGTGCGTGCTATGCTTGGGCCGTAATCACGCTCAAGCTGCGCTTAGCAGCCTATCCAATTGTCAACACTGTGATAGCCTGCGGCTAAAAGTTTTGCACTCGAGGCTCGCGGCCTTTTCGAAAGGCCTTGCGTCTAACTCCCGCCAATCTGTTTCTGCGGTTGCCGAGGCGCCGCATGAGACGATCACTTGGGGTGATGCATGCGAGTCAGAGCCCATGGAGAACGAGATGACGGAGTATTCTCCTTTCCTCTCGCTCTCGCCCTGTCATGTTCAAGAGCTCCAAGAGCATTATGTCGAGCCGGTTGTCTTCGTCAATGACGATTTGTGGCCCACCCTGGAGGCCCGTAATGAGGTTTCCTTCGGTTGTGAGCTGTATGACGATGATGTGTTGTCCACCGCGGCCGCTGATTCAGAGGATTTAATGGTGGAATCCTGCAGTTCTCTCCCTCCGAGCGGACAGGAGAAATGCAATTACCCGTCTTACAATGAGTTGTTAGACGTTGTGACGCGCGTGGTGGACAAGTTGGGATTAGACTGGGACTGTGAGCCGACGCAAGACCAGGCCCAATCTAAATTGGATGACTGGTTTTTGACTAGTCGTACTCCATCCCAGCCCCGTAAGCCTCTTCCCTTCTTTCAAGACCTCCACCAAGAGGTTTCAAGGTCTTGGAAGCAGCCTTTTTCGGCGCGTATTACAAACGCCGCTGCCGTTGATTTCGCCACCGTGTCTAAATGGCGGATCACGGTTACGGGGCAATGCCGACCATTGAAGAGACTCTCGCGACACACCTCGCGCCTAATTCAGCTCCATCTTGGAAGTCGCGCCTTACGTTGCCGTCCAAGCCATGTAGGATCACTTCCAGTTTAATCTGGAAATCTTACATGGCCGCTGGGCAGGCTGCGGCCACGCTACATTCTATGGGTGTGCTTCAAGCCTATCAGGCAGAGCTTCTCAAGGAGCTGGATGAAGGGGAAGGCCTCACTCCTGAGGCTGTTAAGGAGCTCAGGAGAGCTGCAGATTTCGCAGTGGGTAGGTCTATGGCAGGTATGGTGTCAGTTGAGCGCCACCTTTGGCTCACTCTCACAGACATCAAAGAAAAGGACAAAACTTTTCTCTTGGACGCTCCCATTTCAAAAGATGGCCTATTTGGAGATTCAGTCACCACCGTGGTGGAAAAGTTTAGGGCAGCAAAACAGCAGTCTGACGCTTTTCGCCAGCTCATTCCGCATAGGCCCAGGGAGGCAGAGCGTCAACCACCAATGGTCCGTTCACGCTCATCCTCTCTACACCATCATCGGGAGGTTCAGCGTAGTGAACCATCGCCTATGGCACCCCCTCGGAAGGATTGGGGTCCTAGGTCTCGTCCACTGGTTCACTCGCGCCAATGCAAACGGATAGACCTGAGTTCGACGGCCATGGCCTCTCGTTCTCAGGCTCCTAGTAGCAGTTCCTGATTCCCTCGCTCGTCTTCGGAGGCCAGGCCCTCCTTTGGAGAGTTTGGTCGGACCGAACAAGCGTATCCGCATCTCTCAATGTGGCCTCCCGGCTCAGATCTTGACCGTCCCGCCGCTTACTGCGCCTCCTCACGGCGAGCACCTCCTCAGACACTCTGCCTCCTCAGACGTCCCAGCCTTCAGAGCTCGAGAAAAAGCCCACGGGTCATGCGAGCATGGCCCGTCTATGACACCCTTCATAGCCCCCACCCTTGGGGTGTTGGGCTGGCCTGACAGGGCTCTTGGATGCCATCCTGTTATAGAGGTTCCCGCCACTCAGTTGCTTCGAGGCCCTGTGCGGGAAACTCAGGCGAGATTTTTATCAACCCCGCCCATGCTACCTGTTCTCGTAGACGCCAGCGGCTTTCCGCAGTCAGATGTCTTGACACCTGTAGTTCGACCACCGCCGAACATAGTGCGTCTAAAACCTCGAGCAGATTTTTGGGTTGCGTGGAAAAGCTTGCCCGACATCTCGCAATGGGTACTACGTTGTATGTATGGGTACACCATACAATTTCGGAAAGGGCCACCCCCTTTCAGCGGGATTCTTCCCACGACAGTAAAGGGTCTATAGAAGAATTATCCCCCAGTCAGATGGAGTCGTGTTTTTACAGCCGGTATTTTGCTGTGCCCAAAAAAGATGGTGGTTTATGTCCGATTCTGGACTTGCGTCGTTTGAATCTTGCGCTCAGAGTGAGCAAGTTCAAAATGCTAACAGTAAAGTCCATTTTGTCTCAGATCCAACCCCGAGATTGGTTTGTGACCATCGATCTAAAGGATGCATACTTTCACATCCAGATCGTCAAGAGACATAGGAAGTTCCTCAGGTTCACTTGCGAGGGCAAAGCCTGATTGGTTGGGCAAAGCCTGAAAGGCTGATTAGACCTGATTATGTTCCTAAGGTCGCTTCAAATCCATTTCGCTTTCAGCAAGTGGTCTTAGAGGCTTTCTCCCAATCTGACGCGGGGTCAGGTAGCATGGGTCTCTGCCCAGTCAGGGCATTAAAAATCTATGTAGACCGCACAGCTCAGTGGCGTGGATCGGACCAGCTGTTCGTGTGTTTTGGTGGTAAGAGCAAATGCTCCACTGTCACTAAGCAGCGAATGTCGCATTGGATAGTTGAGGCTATCGCTTTGGCCTACGAGGTGCGTGGCTTGACTTCGCCTCTAGGATTACGTGCTCACTCTACGAGAGCAGTGGCTTCTTCTCAGGCCTTTCTGAAAGGGTCGTCGATGGAAGATGTTTGTGCTGCGGCAGGATGGTCCTCTCCTAGCACCTTCATCAAGTTCTACAATCTAGACATGAGGATCTGATGAAATATCGCATGGCACGCTGATATAGCACACGTTACGTACACGTGGGAGGGGCGGTGCTAAGCGCTATTTGGCCAATAAATTGACGTGATGGTATAAGGGCTTCAGACATTCATCACACTGAGGATGTTCCCAAAGCGATGACGTCATCGCAGCATCTCGTTCCCTATTCAGGGAACCAGGGTTACATACGTAACCGAGATGTTTTCACGAGACTCACCGGCGCATGCGCAACGCCGAATTCATACATCATCAGCCCGGAACTGCTTCCGTGTATAACTGTTGGCACAAGCTAGATTAAAGTGATTATTACATTTTGAATATGGATATTTTTCTTACAAAAACGCATCGATTCGCTACAGGAGGCCTTTGTCCCAGGGTAAGTGGGTCGACTCTCTAATTCTCTTGCTCACCTGCTACTGGCATTGTGAACCTCATCAAGAGGCAGTGAAGAGAATAGGACTCGGGAGGTTTTCCTGAGTGTGACCTTGCTGACAATGGGCTACACAGTCCTGTATTTAGGCAGGTTTATAGGCATGCAGATGTATGGTTTCATGGGGGCACCAGATCACTA